ATCAAGAGGCTCTTTAGTTCCTCTTCACTTTATGCCATTAGGATAGTGTCATCTACATATTTGAGGTCATTGATATTTCTCCCAGCAATCTTGATTCCAGCTTAAGCTTCATCCAGCCCAGCATTTCACATAATGTGTTCATTTGAAAAGACCCTGATGCTGGGGAAGACTGAGGGCAGGAGGAGAAGGGGACGACAGAGAATGAGATGGCTGGATGGCATCACTGACTCAGTGGACATGAGTTTGGGTAAACTCCCGGAGCTGGTGATGGACAGGGAGGCCTAGCGTGCTGCATGCAGTTCATGGGGTCACAAAGAGTCAGACACGACTGAGCGACTGAACTGAACTGAACTGAACTCTACATTTAAGTTAAATAAGCAGGGTGACAATATACAGCCTTGACGTACTCCTTTCCCAATTTGGAACCAGTCTGTTGTTCCATGTCCAGTTCTAACTGTTGCTTTTTGACCTGCATACAGGTTTCTCAGGAGGCATAAAGTGGTCTGGTATTCCCATCTCTTTAAGAATTTTCCACAGTTTGTTGTGATTCACATGGTCAAAGGCTTTAACATAGTCAGTGAAGCAGAAGTATATCTTTTCAAAATTATTAAAGAAGTGTTCTTAGAATTCTCATTAACCCTGCAGCTTACAGTATTGGTGAGGGGCCACAGAAGTTCATTGACAACTTATGTTTAACCACAGTGAAGTCTATAAGCTTGAACCTCATCAAGTGATTACCTTCAGTACAGAATATTGGTACATATCTCAGAAATATTTAACTCTGCTGAAAACACTTGAAAGCAATGATTCTCAACCAGGTGCTCTTTTGCCTCCCACAGGATTTTTGGCAATAGCAGGAAATATTTTTTATTGTTGCAACAGAGAGGGAAGATATCTAATGGGGGAGAACCCAGGGATGATGCTAACATCCTACAGTGTTCAGAACAGCCCCCACCACAGAGAATTTTCTTGTCCAAAATACACATAATGCTGAGGTTGAGAAAGCTTGCTTTCAAGGATTCATCTTGAACATTTTACTTGCACTTTTATACAAAGATGTTTTGATCAGAGGCATTTCTCAGTCTTGTGTTCAACTTAAAACTTATAATAATTGATGTTTATTTAGTAAATCCATATAAAACCATCTTTCTTAGGTATTTACTTAGTAACCTACAAGCATTAGGATTAGGGGCAAATTTTCTCAAGTTCATTTTTTAGACAGATTACGTCAAGTCCAGTAGAGTTATATTCACTCTTCTCTCACCTGAAATTGAGATTGATTTGAGGAGGTAAGAAATGAATGGAGAAAATGTGACTGGCCAGCAAGACTGAAATTAGGGTAAGGCAAACCAGCACCCTAGGCCCGTCACTCTTTTAAATTTAAATTAGTCAAGTATAGTTGGTTTAGAGTGTTGTGTTCATTTCTGCTGTACATCAAAGTGATTCAGATATATATATATACATATACACACACACACACTATTTTTTAATATTCTTTTCCATTATAGTTTATCACAGGATATTAAATATAGCTCCCTGTGCTATATGCTAGGACCTTGCTGCTTATCCATTCAATATGAGTTTGCATCTGCTAATCCCAAACTCCCAATCCATCCATCCCTCATTCTTCTTTCCCCTTGCCAACCACAAGTCTATTCTCTATGTCTATGATTCTGTTTCGTAGATAAGTTCATTTGTGTCATATTTTAGAGTCCACATACAAGTGATATTAAATGGTGTTTGTCTTTTTCTTTCTAACTTACTTCAGTTAGTATGATAATCTTTAGGTCCATTCATGTTGCTACAAATGGCATTATTTCATTCTTTTTAATGGGTGAGTAGTATTCTGTTGTATATGTGTGTGGGTGTGTGTGTGTGTATGCTGTGCTTAGTCACTCAGTCATGTCCAACTCTTTGCAACCCCATGAACTGTACCAACCAGCTCCTCTGGAGTCCATGGGCTCCTCTGGGACAGCTCCTCTGTCCATGGGCTTCTCCATGGTGTGGGTTGCCATTTCCTTCTCTCTCTCTCTCTCTATATATATATATATACATATATATATAATGTATTTATATAAATTTATACATATTTATTTTGTGTTTATATTTTATATAAATTTATATGTTTATATTATTATATCTTTATATTTTATATATTATATATATGTATGTAAATTTATATGTATATAATCACATCTTCTTTATCCATTTATCTGTCAATGGACATTTAGATTGTTTCTATGTCTTGGCTATTGTGAATACTGCTGCTATGAACATAGAAGTGTATGTCTCTTTTTTTTTTTTGCATTTGAATGGCAGAAATTTATTTTTTTTTATACATTTTATTTTATTTTATTTTTTTCACAACCATAGTGTATCTTTTTTTTTTTTTTTTTTTACATGTATTCCCCATCCCGGTCGCCCCTCCCACCTCCCTCTCCACCCAATCCCTCTGGGTCTTCCCAGTGCACCAGGCCCGAGCACTTGTCTCATGCACCCAACCTGGGCTGGTGAACTGTTTCACCCTAGATAATATACGTGTTTCAATGCTGTTCTCTTGAAACATCCCACCCTCGCCTTCTCCCAGAGTCCACAAGTCTGTATGTCTCTTTTTGAATTATAGTTTTATCTGGATGTATGCCCAGAGTGGAATTGCTGAATCATATGACAGTTCTATTTTTAGATTTTTGAGGTATCTCCATGCTGTTTTCCATAGTGACTTGCACCAATTTGTGTTCCCACCAACAGTGTAGGAGGGTTCCCTTTTTTTCCACACTCTCTCCAGCATTTGTTACTTATAAATTTTTTAAATTATGGCCATTCTGACTGGTGTGAGGTGATACCTCATTGTAGTTTGATTTGCATTTCTCTAATAGTTAGTGATGTTGAGCATCCTTTCATGTGCCTATTGGTTATCTGTATGTCTTCTTCAGAGAAATGTCTATTTGGATCTTTTGCCCATTTTTCAATTGTTTTTTTTTTTTGTTTTTTCTTATTAAGTTGTATTAGTTGTCTTTATAGTATAGAAATACAACATTTACAAATATTTTCTCCCATTCTTTAGGTTGTATTTTCATTTTGTTTATGGTTCCCTTTGCTATACAAAAGCTTGTAAGTTTGATTAGGTCCCATTTGTTTAGTTTGCTTTTATTTTTATTTTATTGGCACACAGTAGTGGTAAAGAACCCGCCTACCAATGCAGGTTAGATGTAAGAGACTCGGTTTCAATCACTGGGTCAGGAAAATCCCCTGAATGAGGGCATGGCAACCCACTCCAGTATTCGTACCAGGAGAATTCAATGGACAGAAAAGCCTAGAGGGCTGCAGTCCATAGGGTCTCACAGAGTCGGACACAACTGAAGCAACTTAGCATGCATGCATACAGACTGACCTAAGAAAGCATCGATGTGATTTACATCAGAGAATGTTTTGCCTATGTTCTCTTCTAAGAGTTTTATGGTGTCTATCTTATATTTAAGTCTTTAAGCCATTTTGAGTTTTGTGTATGGTGCAAGGGAGTGTTCTAACTTCACTGATTTACATGCAGTTGTCCAGCTTTTCCAATACCACTTGCTGCAGAAATTGTTTTTTCTCCATTGTTCATTCTTGCCTCCCTTGTCAAAAATTAATTGATCATGGGTGTGTGGATTTATTTCTGGGCTCTCTCTTCTGTTCCATTGATACGTATGTCTGTTTTTGTGCCAAGACAATGCTGGTTTGATTGCTGTAGCTCTGTAGTATTGTCTGAAGTCTGGAAGGGTCATGCCTCCACCTTTTTTCCTTTTCCTCAGAATTGCTTCGGCAATTCTGGGTCTTTTATAGTTCTATATAAATTTTAGGATTATTTGTTCTACTTATGTGAAAAGTCTCATGGGTAATTTGAAAGGGCTTACGTTAAATCTGTAGATTGCTTTGGGTAGTGTGGCCTAGGCACCTCACTCTTAAGGAGGAACTCACAGACCTATACTTGAATAAACCAGAGAGTAAGTGCCTCCTTAGTTTTTTATTTTATTGTGGTAAAATACCTATAACATAGAGCTCAGTATTTTAACCATTTTAAAGTGTACCCTTCAGTGGTATTAGTTCATTCACAATGTTATGCAACAATCACCTCAATCTAATTCCAGAACTTTTTCATCACTCAAAATAAAAGCTTCCTACCATTCAGCAGTTTCTCTGGATTCCCCTCCATGGCCCCAGCCCCAGAGCAAGTACTAACCTGCTTTATGTCTCTCTTAATTTGCCTATTCTGAATATATCATATACATGGAATCATATAGTATTTGGCCCTTTGTGTCTGGCTTCTTTCACTAAGCGTTATGTTCTCAAGGTTCATCCATGATGTAGCTATATCACAACTTTCTTCCTTTTGGCTGAATGTTCCATTATAAGGATATTGTTTATCCATTCATCAGTTGATGGACATTTGGGTTGTTTCACCTATTGGCTCTTGTGAATAGTGCTGCTATGGACATTCATAAATGAGTTCTTGTTCTAACACCTGCTATCAGTTTTTCTGGGTATATATTTAGGAGTGACATTGCTGGTTGACGTGGTAATTTCATGTTTAACTTTTTGAGCACCTGTCAGACTTTTCCACAGTGGCTACGCCATTTTCCATTTCTACCAGCAATGTATGAAGGTTCCAAAGTCTCCAACATTCTTGCCAATACTTGTTAATTTTCATTTTTTCAATCCTAGCCATTCTAGTGGGTATGAAGTGATATGCCATTGTGGTTTTGATGTGCATTTCCTGAATGACTAATGACTTTGAGCGCCAAAAGGTGCTTGTTGGCTATTTATTCCACCTTAAATGTTGCACCATATGTGACTCACTTGCTTCAGCCTAATCCCAACTCTGCTATCCAATGCCTGACATCAAATATGAAGTGGCTGATAAACATGGAGGGAAAAGGTAGAGAGATCTGCCTCTAAGTCTTATAGTTCTGGATTCAAATATCCTTATTTGACTAATGATGGAGTTTCTTTCATATCTGCAGTTGAACCAGAGCCTCCTGCAAACCTGACTTTGGAATTAAAACATCCAGAAGATAGAAAACCATATCTATGGATAAAATGGTTTCCACCCACCCTGACTGATGTAAAATCTGGTTGGTTCATGATCCAGTACGAAATTCGATTAAAACCTGAGAAAGCAACTGATTGGGAGGTGAGTCAGTTGGAAGCTTTTGGAAGGAACTGTGTCCTTTGGCAAAGATGAAGACCCCAAATGAGAACTGGTCATGCCTCCTAATTATTAGGCCGCCATGTTTTCTTCCTGATACTGATGTGACCCTTGCACATGTGGAAAGGACTTCTCCCTTGCATCCATCCATCTCCCTGCATCTCCTGGGATGGATGGGGACTCATCATCACAGCTCTCCCAGGACTAGATCCTTGTAATTGAACAGCCTTTTCTGCCAGATTTCCAACCCACCTCTCTCAGGATATCTTAGATCAAAACATCTATGAGAGTTCTTAAGTGGCACTAAGTTGGAGAAAAAAAATCTCAATGTAATCAGTCCATGGTTAATGGCATTTTTATTTACTTTAAAATTCTTCATTGTAAAGAAATAGTACAATAAATTATAGGCATTATAATAATCTATTCTTAAATATTTTAATTGTTGTTATTTAGTCACTAAGTTGTGTCTGACTCTTTTGCAACCCCATGGACTGTAACCTACCGGGCTCCTCTGTCCATGGTATTTTCCAGGCAAGAATACTGGAGTGTGTTGCCATTTCTTTCTCCAGGAGATCTTCCCAGCGTAAGGATTGAACCCACATCTCCTGCATTGGCAGGCAGATTCTTTACCACTAAACCACCAGGGAAGCCCTAAAGACTTTATTATATGTCTCTTTTAAACAAGGAATATTTCCAAACATAGCCAAAATAATACGATAACATGTAGAAAATTAATTGAAATCCCTTAATATCATCTTTTTAAATTCTTTAATATCATTTAAATTAGTCCATATTTTAATTCCCCCAACTGCTTCGAAAATATTTCAGTAGCTAGTTTGTCCTAACCAGAATCCACTTCAGGATCACATACTGGCTGACTCATGTATCCCTTCAATCTCAACATGCTAAGGAGACCAAGCCACTTATCTCAAAGAATGTCCCACCTTCTGCATCTGTCTAATTAGTTCTTTATAAGGTCATTTAGCCAGTTTCTCTGTCCCCACATTTCTTGTAACCAGACATTAGATCTAAAGACTTGTTTAGATTCCAGTTGAACAGTTTTTGGCAAGGAAATTTCAGAGGTGATGCTATATGCTTCACATTGCATCATATCAGGAGAAAAAGCCATTCTGGTCAACCTACCATAAATGATGCTAAAACTGGGTGCTGGACTGGGGAGGTCACATCCTGATCCCTTGATTGTAAAGTCATGTCTGATTTGTGCACAACTGCTTCAGTGTTCATAAATGCCCAGTTCTTTTTCACCTAGAGGCTTCACACCCATGAATAATCCTTGAATCAATAATTTTATTAGGTTTAGAAAATAACAAATTTCCAATTTTGTTAAGTAGTCACCTTCTATAATGTAGAATTCAGAAGGTAAGGTGTAGGGAGTGGTATATTTGTCTTTCTGAAATAGTGTTCCAAATGGAGAGGTAGAAACTTGTTGTTTTTTGTGTGAACAGTGTTTAACAGGAGGAAGGGGTGGGCTGAGAGGGTGAAATGGCATGAACAGGATATAAAGTGTGATCATCTGGCCTGACTTCTCTGCTAGTTTATCACCTAAAGAAAAGTTTCTTCATAACACAAGTCAGAGTGACTTCTGTTTTCCTTGGCCCTCCCTAGATTCATTTTGCTGCGAAGCAGACTCAGCTTAAGATTTTCAGCTTATATCCAGGACAGAAATACCTTGTGCAGGTTCGCTGCAAGCCAGACCATGGATACTGGAGTGAGTGGAGCCCAGAGAGCTCTATCCAGATACCTAATGGTAAGTGTCTTGAAATTCCCCAAGGAAGAGGGGATTCTGACTGCAATCTGCCTTTGTATTATTGCTAAATATTTTTAAACAGAATGGGTTTAGTAAATTTTTATGTGGTAACTACTAACAGAGAAACTATTTTGAGGCTTAAGCAGAAGAATGAGTAGAGGTGGATTTATCATCTGTCCATTCAATACGGAGACATCTGGAAGTAAAGCATCTTTCTCTAGGCCACTGTCAGTGAGGATCAGTTTCTATTAATAGGATAGGAGACATCTGCAGACATGAGCTTGGAGTGTCTCCGAGGGCTTGATGGTCACTTATTCTGCCCTCCACATCTGCCCAATCCCTGTCATTCAAGGTCATCACCTAGAATTTGCAAGGTGCTATCCCACCTGAAAGGCATGTACTGATTTTCAGTCCTTGATGACAATTACATGTTGATCTCATTCAAGGAACAGTATGTAGAAGGCACCCAATTCTTCAAGTGCCATTAAATGTAGTGGCTGGTTTTCTACAAGGGAATGGTTCATCTTGCATTTCTAAAGTACTTTACACAGTCTTTACCTTGTTTGGTCCTTCCAACCATCTCAGGTATTCAGAGAGAATAGAATTGCCATTATTAACGGAAAGAGAGGAAACTGAAGCTCAGTGGAGTTAGAAGTCTTGCCCAGAACCACATGGCAAAGCCTGACTCTTGTGACTACTGGCCTGACCACAATATCAGGGCTTGCACTGGCATAGTGGACATAGCACTGAACTACAGGCCATAAGACTGTGTGTGCAGCCCTAGCTCTTACTAAATAAAAGCACAGGGTCTAGAAGCGGAAGGCCTGGGTTCAAATCACAGATGGCAACTTTATGGCTACCTGCCTCTGAATCCCCTGGAGAAGGAAATGGTAACCCACTCCAGTACTCTTGCCTGGAAAACTCCATGGACTGAGGAGCCTGGTAGGCTACAGTCCATGGGGTCTCAAAGAGTCGGACACGACTGAGCAACTTCACAGACACACAGGCCTCTGAATCCACCACTCCTTGAGTGTCAGTTCCTCATCTTTACATAGAACAACGTATGTAAAGAGCTTATCATCATATGGCTTTTACTAGGAACTTAATATAACGTTAGCTTGTTATTATTACTGTAACTGATCATGTCCTCATGGATTTCCTCTATTAGTATGACATAAAATAATATTTTAAAGCACTTTGAAAACTTTAGAGTACTGTAAAATATATGCTGCGTATTAAAATTTAATAATATTGGGGGAAAAAGTAAATCCATCATTAACGCTACTCTGTTTGGATTGCTGTTCAAATCAAAAAGGGTATAGAGGGTCAGGGGACTTATGTTCAAAAGTCTCATTTCTTTGTTTGTTTTAAACAGTGCTGTATGTGATCAAAGCTTTCTGGCTGTTTGTTTTTAGACTTCCCAGTGAAGGATACGACCGTGTGGATCTTTGTGGCTGTCCTTTCTGCTGTCATCTGTTTGATTATGGTCTGGGCAGTGGCTCTGAAGGGCTATAGGTACTTCAGTCTACCCTCCTTTCAGGCATGGTTGTCAGGGATAATGGCCAAAAAAGACAATACAGAAATGATGGAAACCTACAGATAATTCAAGCACCTCATTTTAGCCATTAGTGGCAGTGTGTTCACTATGAAAAAGCTTTTATCAATGCTAGCAAAAGTAGAATAGACTCATTTGCAGCTGATGCTCTTTCCATCAAATGGAGGCTGACAGTTGTGAAATAGTAAAAATCTGGCAAAAGCAGCAAACAACCCACTAGTCATTTCAGAATTAGCCAGAGTTAACTAGCCAGAGTTCATTTTAATGTTGGCCTTTATGGCTCAGATGGTAAAAGAATCTGCCTGCCCTGCAGGAGACCCAGGTTCAGTCCCATGGTTGGGAAGATCCCCTGGAGAAGGGAGTGGCCACCCACTCCAGTGTTCTTACCTGGAGAATTCCACGAACAGAAGAGCCTGGCGGGGTACAGTCCGTGGGGTCGCAAAGAGTCAGACACTTAACACTCTATAGTTATTCATTGTTGTCACTGCTGATTTAGTAGTTTCATGTAGGCTCAGAACTCCTAACTTCTACCTACCATAGTCCATGTAGCAGCCATTTGGAGATAAGGCTAATCTTTCAAAAATTACAAAGTGAAAATATGTACCATTTATCTTATCTCACGAATCATTTTATAGCATGATGACCTGCATCCTCCCACCAGTTCCAGGGCCCAAAATAAAAGGATTTGATATTCATCTGCTGGAGGTAAGTGCTCAGGTGGAGACTGTATTGTGACTTGCTGCTGTGTAATTGTCATCTTTACGCATGTGCACACCATCCCCATCAGTGCAGTCTGGCTAGCTTAGCCATCCATGGCTGCTTGTCCCTTCCCTTCAGCAGGGGTGTTCACAGAAAGATGTGAGAGGCATGAGGGTAATTACTGTCAGAAAGTGTCAGAGGGCAATGAAAGAAAGCCAAGAAAACATCAGCACACATAGGAATGCTTGTTAGGTTTATCAGATCTGTTCATAAGCCCTGTCATAAACATTTTATACAAATACTCAGTTGAGAAAGTGGGTGAATATTTGATGAATACAAAAGAGTGACCTTCCACCAGCCCCTCCTCCATCAGACTTTGGTGTAAGCTTTCACTTGAGTGTTCTCTACATAAGGCCATAGTAACAGAATATCTTACTGCAATTTTTGCTCAGTTTGAGTGCTCAGCTAACACTGGCTCAGTACAGGGGAGCTGGTATTTGCCAGAGCCCATTTAGACAGATTCAAGTGGGAATTAAATGTAAGTGTTTCAAATGAAAAGAGGGGTTAGAACATTTTACATTTCTCTGCAGGTTGAAGTACATATTAATAGTTTCTATTTGGCCTTCAGCTTAACATGGAGGTATATAAAAGCAGTTACCTACTCATTATGTCACTTGACATCAGCCACTGTGAGGCCAAAAGCACAAAACTGTGAAAAGTCAGCCCCAGGGAATTTGTTCTGATGGCGTTCACTTTGATTGCAGATATCACAGCCTTCTCGCCTTGTGTCTATGTTTTAATAGAAGGGCAAGTCCGAGGAACTTCTGAGAGCTCTGGAAAGCCAAGACTTCCCTCCCACTTCCGACTGTGAGGACTTGCTGATGGAGTTCATAGAGGTGGAGGACAGTGAAGACCAGCAGCTGATGCCACGCCCCTCCAAAGAACACATGGAGCAAGGCGTGAAGCCCATGCACATGGATCCTGACAGCGACTCTGGCCGGGGCAGCTGCGACAGCCCTTCGCTCTTTTCTGAAAAATGTGATGAACCTCAGGCCCATCCCTTCAAGTTCCATACTCCTGAGGGCCCTGAGAAACTGGAGAATCCCGAAACAAACCTTACATGTCTCCAGACCCCTCAGAGCATGAGCAGGGAAGGCAAAATCCCCTATGTTCATGCCAATGGACCCAAATCTTCCACATGGCCTTTCCCGCAGCCACCCAGCCTGCACAACCCCAGATATTCTTACCACAACATTGCTGACGTGTGTGAGCTGGCCCTGGGCATGGCAGGCACCGCAGCCACTTTGCTGGACCAAACAGACCAACATGCTTTAAAGCCCTCGAAAACCATTGAGACTGGAGGGGAAGGAAAGGCAGCCAAGCAGAGGGAGTCAGAAGGCTGCAGTTCCAAGCCTGACCAAGACACGGCGTGGCCACTGCCCCAAGACAAAAGCCCCTTGATCTCTGCTAAACCCTTGGAATATGTGGAGATCCACAAGGTCAGCCAAGATGGAGTGCTGGCTCTGTTCCCAAAACAAAATGAGAAGGTCGGCGCCCCTGAAACCAGCAAGGAGTACTCGAAGGTGTCCCGGGTGACGGATAGCAACATCCTGGTGTTGGTGCCGGATCCTCAAGTGCAAAACCTGACTCTGTTAGAAGAACCAGCCAAGGAGGCCCCACCAGCCCTGCCATAGAATCCAGCTGAGGCCGACCTGGCTGTCTCCCCCGCAACCCCAGGCAACTGCAGACTCCAGTTGGGTTGGGGACTGGGTCCCACAGGTTTTATGCACTCTTGCAGTGAGAGTTATGGAAGGATGGGTTGAACTGTGATTTTCCTTCAGGGAACACTACAGAGTACGTGAAATGCACTCTAGCAGAGAGGGCTCAAGAGCAGGGTTAGAATGACACTACCCAACTCCCAGTTCACTCTTCATTCTCTGTATTTTCAACCAGTTGCCTCTTTTTCCAACAGCTGATTCCAGAACAAATTGTTCCATCTTGTGTGATTTATAGATTTACTTTTTACTATTACTTATCAGATTATGTGTTCAATGATATAGAAGCACATTGCCTAGTATTCTTGAGAGACAGTGCCAACAGGTATATTCTCTGGAAAAGGCCTTCATGGTTTTGTATGTGACAGAGGGGTATAAGTCAGTCAAAATTGTTTACCATGGGAAGATGGTAGATAGGAGAGAAATGCCATGATAACCACTCTTGAAGACCGGTTGCTTAACCTTTGCACTCCTCTTTCATTTTATTAGGATTAACCAAATACAGTGCACTTAAAAAGTTTCATTCTAGAACATCTGACAAATTGTTTACATCCGTTCCTATTACCTTAATGACACATTGCCAATATGCAAGTAAACAGGATGCCTCCAGTTTTTTCTTAAAATAGTTTGAATTCATTAAGCATGGATTTTACCCCTAAATTGTATTTCATTCTGAAACTTCTAGAGAATAGGGTTTTAGAAAGTGAAATTTTCTTACACAGGAGGCAAATGAGTTTCATGTGGTGAATCCTTCTCAAATGTTTTCCTCTTTTATTTCAGCATGATAGATAATTTATTACACACCCTAGTCTTCTGTTAGTGAAAAAAAAAGTCCCAAAAGACTATTTAATTTAAAATATAATCATAGCAGGATGCTAACAGAAGTACTGCCTTACTGTATATACAAATTCTACTTTAATATAAACCCATAAATTTAACAATGTATTTTTGAAGACTATTTTTCTATCACTTAAGTAAAATAAAAGACTATTTTCTATCTTCCCAGTACAGCCTGTTTACGTATTCAGTGGGTACAGTATTTTCTGCTATGAGGTTATAATGAGTATTTTCAGTACACGGTGATATATGCAGTCCCTGTTTGTGGAATAAAATGCCATACCAAGCCAAAGCCCATTGAGGAATAGGAAGTGGATGACAAAATTCGATTTCCAACATAGTGTAGTATAGATTTTCTGATTCTTTTTATCTCCAGGATACTTTAAACAGCAATCAAAAACTAGAGTTTTAGGACTCTCCACAGACTGAAGATTACTTCTCTTATAATTTAGGGCCATTGTGGGGGTTCTGCTCTTCTCTGGGTGAAAATTTTCACTTCTCTGTGAAATTTTCACTTCTCTGGGTAAAAATTCATAAAGATGAAAAAGGAGAGTGGGAACACCTAACATACTGCCTTAGAGAGAGGGTTATGGTTTTGTTTTTCTGAGCAATCTTGGGCAAATCCATTTGTGTATTTACTTCTTAAGCTGGAACACAAAGAATCTGAGCTCGCTCTGTGAGTTAGATATTCCAGCCCAATAAGTCCATGTTGACAGGAATGGGACTCCAAGGTTGGCTGATGTGTGAAAGTGAACACACTGCCAGAGCTCCCAGAAATGCAAAAGTAACATATCTGAGGCTCTATTCTCCCAATACACACACAACCAGTTAAGAGTCAGGGAGCTGTTGGGGAAGATTGTCCAAGTTTATTAGCCCCCTAGATCCTTGCTACTCAAAATAAGGTCTGAGGACCAGCCTATGAGGACCGCATCTATGGGCGCTGCTTGGAAATGCAGAATCTCTGCCCTCCCCACCCCCACCCACCAGAATCTGCATTTTGCTAAGATCCCCCGATGATTCAAGTGCACAGTGAAGTTTGAGAAGCATTGCCCTAGCAGATCATTTCCACTAAAGCTGATTTTAGTGCCTGGAGCAGTTCTTTCCTGGAAAGTACAGGTCAAGTCTGTTTGACTTGCAGTGAACAGTACTGTCATAAAAAGGTATCATTTTAAAAAATCTATTAGTGGTTTGGAATTCACATAATGGAAGAGAATGATCTGCAAAAGCACATACAACTTCTAAGAGGGTCAGGGAATATATCCCACCTTGAGAAGCATTGACCAAAGACTCGGCCCTTCAAAGCCAGCACAGACCAAATCTTTCTCAATATAGTCCCATCTCCTCCAAGATGCGCATGAACCAGTCTGATACTATGAGAATTCAAAAATAGTCTTTTGATGTATAATTTGGCATATATGGAAAAAACTGTCATGGCTGAAGACTCAAATTAAATTCTTTAAAAAACACCAGTTAGTAAGTAAATTATGGCAATCATTAAGTAAAGCCAAGACTATAATTCTCAGTCACTTAGCACTCTTTAATGAATTGCGGTTTTTTTGGTTTTTTTTCCATGGTCTAGCCTATTTTCTACCAAGGAGTCCTCTAGTTGAGTGGAAGTGTGCAGATTAAGAGTCAGGAGACCCAGCTTCTAGTGCTAATAATGTTAGCTTAGCTCAACTCTCTTCTCTAGATCTCAGTTTGCTCTGAATGAAATGCTAGGCCAAATAATCTATAATGTCCTTTTAAACTGTGAATCCTTAATTCCATAATTCACTCAATAGTGTCCAGCAAAGATGATTAACCAATGCCTTGTATCATAATTAAGCTTACAAATAATTGCCCTTTATCATAGACACATGTCTTCAGTGATGTGCCCATTTTGTTTCACTTTTTTTTTTCTTTTTGTTTTTTTTCAGTTGGAGGATAGTTGCTCTATAATATTGTGTTGGCCTCTGCCACACATCAACATGAATCAGCCACAGGTTTAAATCATCAATGCCAACTAATCCTAACATACTGTACATGCATTTTACAAATTACATAGGTATAGAATCATAGTCCAAGATGATGTGCCAATATGTGTATAGAGAGAAGCAGAGATTTTTTTTTAAAGGCATTGAAAGAGGCTCTGACTTTTAGGGACAAAATGCTTTTTTTATACTAGGCTGCTGATTCTGGTTTGTGCTTTTTGTTGTTGTTGTTGTTGTCGTCTTCTTATGGATTATGAACCACCATTGCACAGTTGGTGTTAAAAGCCTCAAGCTCTGATTTATAAAAAGTCATATTTTTTATAAGTAAACACATCAAGCTACAAAGCACATGGAAATAGGATAGTCAGTGGGTGATTTATGGAAGCTTATAGCTCAAACTGCAAAATCTTCGCTAGTCAGTTCTAGCAAATGGGTACAAGTCACCTCAGATGAGCACAAGTCATAATCAGTCACGTCACTGATATGTAACTGACTCTCCGTTCTCCTAAGTGCCTAAGGCCAATCCCAGCTGGTTTGGTCCAAAGTTGGTCAATCCCTTACCATCTGTTCAAGATGAAGGAGTTTGACTCTGTCCTGTAGTGACCCAACTGAAAGAGAGAATCTGATGAGCAAGCAGAGGCACCTGAGCTCCAATGTGCAGCTTAGCTGGGGAAGGTCTGTCCCCCAACTTTCTCCAGGCTGCCTGCCACTGCCCATCACTTGCAGAAAGATGTGATCCAGCCAGTCATAATTTTATTATCTCTTTAGAGTAGATATGAAAGAATCAGATTTGTACACATTTTACAAAGTGCCTTTTTTTTAAGTTTTCTTTTCACAAGAAAAGTGTATTGATTAGACAGTAAGTTTTACATTTTAAGTAAATGAATGAAAAAGCCAGAAAGGGAATCATTAAATGGTCTAAGGTCCAATCAGCAGCCATTGAGTAGATTTTAATTTATTGTTTAATTGAATTAACACACAGCTGATATGAATAGTGTAACTTATTTTGATAAGAAATTGACTCTGACTAAGATTTTGGAAGTCTGCCACCCTGTTACTTGAGGCCCTCAATTTAAAAACACACTAATGCACTTTTAAATGGCTTTGAATTGCATACCAGGGCCTGAAAAGGGTAATGGGTGTACCATGGAACTTGGCACATGTGCAGAAGACATAAAAGCCTCCAGATTATGGTCCGCAGGATTGCTGATATAGATTTGTCATTGATGAAAGCCTCTAGTGAACCAATTTGTTTTTCTGCCTTTTCAGCCCATGCATCGTTAATATAGTCGCTAGGGTAGTGGGCTGAGCACTCAATTTCTGGTTGCCAGTAAACAGGCTGTGTGATCTTAACAAGTCCTTTAAAAGCTAATCACTAGTTCCCTCATCTGTTAAATGAGTGGTTTGGCCTAAGTTTCTAAGACCTCTTCCGGCTCTAACAGTCTTTGATGCACATGATCTGAGTAAAATCCAGGGTTTCAGTAAATGGCCCAGGGACAGTTCAGGGAAATACTGCTGATGATCCCTTAGCCTGAAGCAGTGGACAGTATGGCTTTAACAATGCTGAAGAGAAAAACAGGTCTACTCCTGCAAGTGCCATCGATTTCATTTAACATCCTTTGCTCCTCCTCTTCTTAGCTGTCTACCTTGTAGGCTTTTAATGCTCTCACCTAGGGCCTCCATTTCTCCTGAGAGTTCATTATGTACAGTAGCAACCGTAGGATTTGCAAGAAACTAAATTATTCATAAACAGTGACTTTGGCCTGAGTCAAACATTAAATTGGCCATATGGATATCAAGGCCCAAGTTGAAGGTCACAACTTACCTTATTTACAGAGACACAGGCTTAGAGATTCTAGCTCAATTCATCCATTCATTCATTTGTTCAAAGGCCACTAATAAACCCAAGCTACAATGAAGACTCTGTTGTGCAGGTCTTTTTTTTTTTTTTTTTGGTTTTATTTTTATTTTTATTTTCACACACACACACACCCCACATTTTATTTATCCATTCATCCATTTTTTTTTAATTTTTTTATATATTGTAGTGGTTTTTGCCATACATTGACATGAATCAGCCATGGATTTACATGTGTTCCCCATCCCGATCCC